TCAGCTTCTGGTGCTTGGGGTGGGGGAGGATCTCCTGTAAACCCGTGAGCAGGTCTCCCACACATTCAGCAGAAGAGAGAGTGGATGTCATCTGGGTCCCCCGTGTCCTCCTCCAGGGATAGGGGTAACCCAGACAAAGCCCTGGGCTCAGGGACCCCGCTCTGAGCTGCCCCCACACACCCCAGCCCGTGCCCTCCACCCCAAACACTGCACACTGCAGCTGCTCCTCCAGCACCCCACCCCCTCCTTGGCTGCACCCACACTGCTGTGCCTGAGCCTGGCTTGTGCCAACCTGAGCCCAGTGCTGGCACAGCTGCTTGCCAGGGGGGTGAGCCTGGGCACAGACCCAGGATCCAGCCAGCTCCCTCCATCCCCCCAGAGCCCTCTCCTCTGCCCCAGCTCCCCCACAGAGGCCAGCCCCTTGTCGTTATTATAACAGGCCTCATTTAATTGCTCATTTCCCATGCCAGACCCCAGGGGAGTATTTGATCACATGATGATGATTATTATTATTATTTTTAAACATCAGTTCCTCACGATGCACAGCTCTGGTTCCACAGCATGGGAGAAGGTAAAACTCAGATGCTGCTAGGAGGGTGATGGAGACAACCCTTGTGCAGCCAAACTGCTGGGGAATCCCAGATCCACCTGCCCCAAACTGTACCTACTCAGAACAGATTTTTTTTCCCCTCATCCTCTTTTACATCTGTCCCCCATGATAAGAAAAATCCAAACCAACAAAAATGTGGTGGGCTCAGCTCTGTGAAGTCTTTGGCACATTCTGTGTGCAGGTTCCAGTGACAGCTTGGAAAGAAAACCCCCAAGTCCTGCTGCAATTCCGTGTTCCTAGGAAGGAGGCACTGGAGACCATGATGCTGGGAGCACTCAGCAAGGAAGAGCCAAGGAACAGGGAGGGAGGCACAAGGCACTCAGCAGTTACCTGCCAGCTCCTCATCCTTGCACAAGGAACACACCATGAAGCATCTGTTTGTTTTGGAGCCCAGCACCTCAGATGTCCTTGGTGGGTGATCCTCTGTGCTGGGAGGATGGGGTGCTTGAGGGTGAGGAGCAGCTGTCCACCACCACCCCCACCCCCCTTCCCTTCCCCTCGCCCTTGCCCTGCTGCTGATCTCAGAAGCCCAGGTGGGTGAAGAAATCATCCAGATCCACGTGGAGATGCCAGACCTGCCTCCACCACCACCAACCCCCTTCCCTTCCCCTCGCCCTTGCCCTGCTGCTGATCTCAGAAGCCCAGGTGGGTGAAGAAATCATCCAGATCCACGTGGAGATGCCAGATCTGCCTCCACCAGGACCACAGGCAAGCAACCAGGATGCTGTCTCCTGGCACAGGGAACACCTCCCAGCACCCCAAGGCATCTCACAACTCCACTGCTCACCTAAGGCACCGCTCCACCCACCGCAGTGCTGGAAAGAGAGAGGACAGGCTGCCTGTCCAGTCCCACCACCCCAACTGCCCCACCAGTCCCCACCAGGCCTTTTTCTGAAAATCCACACAAACCAGCCCCAGAATCCAGCTCCCTGATTCCTGGGGGTTCTCTTTACCCCAGGGAGCCACAGGGCTCTGCCCATGTCCCCATGATGTGCCCCAGAGCAACCAGACCTCCCCAGACATGCATGCAGCCCCATGTCCAAAAAAAGCACCCAGAAAACACCACAGAGAGGGGCACCATCAGCAGCACTGGCCAAGCCGTGGGCACACGGACAGCAACACCTCCTGCTGCACAGAGAACTGTCCCAGAGCAGGGATCTGGGGGCTGCAGGCACCCCACGACTGTGGAAGGGGCAGATGGAGAGGCATTAGCCATGCTCAGAGGTCCTCGTGCCCAGCAGCAGTGTGGTCAATGAGGAGGTACCACTTCAGCCTGTCTGGAAGAGGTAGAGCCTTGATTTTGACATCTACTGGCCACGGTTTAAGGCGCTGCCGGATAAACACCCTGCAGAGATGTTTCAGTGCCTGCGGGGAGTGCTCCAGCTGCTTCAGAGAGGAGAAGAGAGTCCTGATCTTCTCCCCGTGGTACCTACAGCTGCTAGTGTTGACCTCAAAGTTGCTGGGCAGCTGGATAGCTTGTGAACTGGCCATCATGAGCTCCAGCAGGGTCTGACCCTTCTGGATGAGGTCTGTAGAGAAGCTGTCATCTTCAGAGACACTGAGGTGCGAGCAGAGGCACTCGAAGACGATGTGAAAGCCCGACCAGCAGGAGGGACCGTGGAGGGAGCAGTTGTAGGCAGCACCCGACTCCAGCAAGAAACGCAGCAGAGGGAAGTGGCGTTTGAAGCCTTTGAAGCAGAGGTGGGTGAGGGACTCGGGGGCCGGGCACTCGCTGGGGTTGGCACCGTGGGCCAGCAGCAGCTGCGTGACGCGGAAGCAGAAGCGGCTGATGACACGGGGCTGCTGCACACCGTCTCTCCCAGCAGGAAGATGATGTAGGTGAAGACAGTGTCACCATCTCTGGTGGTGGCCCTGACGTCTGCACCTGGACAGAGGGACAGGGAACGTAAGTGGCGTTGAGGCCAGGACAGACTAGCTCTGGGCTGGGCTTTATTCTCACTCAGGTGAGGGCATAAAGGAGCTGGAAGGGGAGCAGCCAGCACAACGAACCAGCCAGCACTAGGTTGGAGAGGTTGTGTGAGCAGAAGAAGGTTGCCCTCACCTCCCTCCAGCAGGAGACTGATGCTCTCTGTGTTGTGGATCTGGACACCATCACTGCTGGCCAGGGCGTGCAGCAGCGTGGTCTTTCCTGCAACAGAGCAATCAGGCAGATGAAGAAAGGGTGGCACCCCAAAAGGCAGGGAGGAAAACAATCCACCCCACTAACCGGATAGGGAGGGACAACCCTGCTCCTTCTGGCAGGCTTCTGCTGTCCCTCTGATGGTGCACAGCTGTGGGGACAGGGTCTCAAACCACACATGCAGGGCTGATGGTGGCCCCAGAGGGCATGTGTGCCACAGCAGAGAGAATTTCAGAGCATGTAGGCACCACAGGGCTATGGAGGCACAGCCCCATCCCATCTCCCATGGACTGTGCAGGGCTGGTTTCAGCCCTCTCTGCCCCCAGAACAGTGGTGCACCAGGAGCAAACACAGAGCCCCAGGGAGGGTCCGCAGCCCACGCCCACCTTCCGAACCCCTCTGTAACCAGAGCGCTTGCAGCAGCGGGAGGGAAGGACCCAGACCCCGAGCCCTGCTCCAGCCCACCCCCGAGGACCCGCTGCTGGGAGCACAGGGCCCCCCGTG